AACGAGGCGTACAGGTAGTTTGGAATAGGAAGCCTAGTCCAAACTACCTAGTTCGTGCCGCATGTAGCCGCAAGCACAGAGTCCGCCCTAGCGGATATTTAAAAATGGCGGCGCCCGGCAACATGCAAATGAAGCCCGGGAAATTCAAATCCCGGGCTTCATTTGCAAGTTCGTATGACTACATTAACCATCCTAGTTCGAACTAGGGTGGTAGTGTAGACATACCCTTGGTTAGGTGGATCCCATCTCTTCCTAACAATCCTTGTGCCTGGAACAGTCCCATGGTCTAAAAAACCAACGCCCTCTCTCCGACACCACCCGCGCAACCATGCATTTACTTCCTCAATTCAACGATCCCTATCCAGAGCTTTCCCTTCAACCAGAAGGATGGACGAGAACACCTCTTGCGCTTCAAATTCCTTGATCCTTCTTCCCAGCACTACATAATCTGCTGTGACCTGCTAAAGGTCATTCTTGGCTGTATTGTTAGTTCCCACATGGAGAAGCAGGAAGGGGTAGCAATCTGAAGGTTTAATCACTTTCGGAAGACTCTCGGTCACATCCTGAATGCGAGCTCCCGGTAAGCAGCACACTTCTCGAGATTGCAGGTGTGGACGGCAGATGGATGACTCAGTCCCTATTAGGAGGGAGCCCTGACCACCACCACCCGTCTTCTTTTGGGAGTGGTGGTTGTGGAACCCCCATCCCTAGGACTACGCATCCCATGCCTTCCGGTAGATGGTGTTCCCTTCTGATTTCTTCCCTGAGAGGTCCCTCTCAAAGAATTCTCCACTGCAGTGCCTGTGGAGAGAGCCTGAAAGTGGTTACTTACCTCTGCAGGAATGGGGATACCTGAGTTGGCCTTCTCCTTCTAGAGGTTACATGCTTCTAGTTTTCTTCCTTGTCCTATATTGCCCTCACTGGCTCTTCAGCCTGCTGTGGCTGCAGGATTAAATGCTGCCTTCTATCAAGAAAGTCTTCTTCATCCTCTCTGATAGAACGTAGGGTCGATACTTGGGCCTCAAGTCCTCTAATTTTTTCTTCCAAAATGGTGACCAGCTTGCACTTAGTGCAGATGAAATCCCTTCTTTCTTCCAGGAGGAAGACAAACATGGCACATGCTGTGCAGCTAACAACAGAAGACCTATCACCATCCATACCTACCTTCCTCCTGAGAGATTCCTCAGTAGTTATTCAATGCCTCCCTGAAGGGAAGGAGTGTAGTGAAAAGATGTTAAAGAATGGCAAGTGTATCTTACTCCCTTCCCAACTCCCTCTCCAAACTCCCTGTTAACAGTTTCTGTTCACAAGCTCCCTGGTCACTGACTCACTCCTTTATAAAGCCCTGGACTGCCTGATAGCCCCTCTCCCTGATTAAGGCTCAACCAATTAGTAAAAGCTTCTAGATTTCAAACTCTGAAAAAATGAGGAAGAACGGCTCTTGAGCAAGAGGGGGGTTTTGTGCACAAAGGAGCCATCTACACAGCTCGTTTTTGCACAAAAGCCTCTTGCACAAAAATGGCTGCTAATTAATTATGCAAATGAAGTGTGGTGATATTTTACTCCACACTTCATTTTCATAAGCTTTTGCAGAAAACGGCTGCAGTATAGACAGAGCTTAAGAGTCGTTGGCATCCTTTGCTTCTGCATCATCCGATGTGCAAATGTCATGGGTCAAACCCATGAAACTGCTGGCAGCTTTAGTGTAAGTTTAGAATAATCATAGAATCCTAGGGTTAGAAGATACCTCAGGAGATCATCAAGTCCAATTCCCTGGTAAAAACAGGACCAATCCAAACTAAATCATCCCAGCCAGGACTTTGTCAACCCAGGATTAAAAAAAACTCTAGGAATGGAGACTCCATTACCTCCCTACATAACCCATTCCTGTGCTTCAGCACCCTCCTTGTGAAATAGTTTTTCTTAATATCCAACCCATAACTTCCCCACTGCAACTTGAGACCATTGCTCCTCCTTCTGTCATCTGCCACCACTGAGAACAACCTTTCTCCATCCTCTTTGGAACCCCCCATCATATAGTTGAAGGCTGCTATCAAATTCCCACTCACTCTTCTTTTCTGTAGACTAAATAAGTCCAAATCCCTCAGGCTCTCCTAGTAAGTCATGTGTTCCAAACCCCTAATAATTTTTGTTGCCTTCTCTTGGCCTCTCTCCTGTGCATCTACATCCTCTCTACAGTGGGGAGCCCAGAACTGGACTCAATACTCCAGATGTGGCCACACTAGTGCCTAATAAAGGGGAATAGTCACTTTCTAAGATCTGCTGGCAATGCTCCTCCTAATGCACCCTAATATGCCATTAGCCTTCTTGGTTACAAAGACACACTGAAATTTTCCACATGAAATAATATATAAAAGGGTTGCTTTCACAGACAAAACTGTGTTTTACCTGAGTAAGCACCATTTCAGTTAAAAGAATAAAAATTTCAGGGGTGAAAACTTAATCTGAAATGTGGAAGAGTTGAAGTGACTGACCAAACCAATTATTTGTTTTAAAATGACTCCTGTTCTACTATTGTTTCTGTTTCTGAGGGGTTTTCTGCAGTCAGCCTTTCTCCTCATGAGAACAGTGATTTGGGAAAGTCATGCTGGTACAACTTGTCTATGTGAGAGAACAGCTTAGAAATGATGCCTTAATTAGGTAGTAGAACTTCTTACAAGTTTATTGCCAGTGAAATTGGTATCAGCTGCTCAAGGTGCAAAAGCACCTTCTGCAAGAATTAAATCTATTTTATGAAGTAAAAACACTGCTCTGCAAACACTATTACTGAAAGAAGTTTAGTTCTGAGGCAAAGAGGAAAACATACTCCCTTTATAGTTCCAGACCTATGTACTTAATAGTCACGTTTCTAAGATTGATGCCCTGTGTGATCCCTGTGCCACCTGAATGATAGGTCTAGTCCTGGACTCTCAAGGCCAGGATCTGATTTCCATTTCCTCAGTGTAAATCTAGAGTAACTCTACTGACTGTGGAAATGAAACTAGACAGCACACGCCACTAAAAAGAAAACAACATTCTGGTATCTTTTATTAGGAGGATGAGAGAAAAATATGGACCAACGCCCTGTGCTAAACAACCACTCGATAATATCCGTCATTAACATACTGCTTCAGAGGGGTAGCCGTGTTAGCCTGTAACTGGAAAAACTTAAAAAACAATGAATAGTCTAGCAGCACCTTAGAGACTAACAAAAAATGTCATTAACATACTGATCAGCCTTTAAAGACTACTAAACAACTGGTTTATATTGGTCCCCTAGAATTAAAGGCTGAGTCCTAACCATTCAGACAGTGACCCACAGAAGAAACATATTTGCTCATCTGGTCACTTTCCACTTACCAGACATACAAGAAGACAGCCATGTGGAAAGTCCATTTCAAACTCCCATAGGAAACACTCTGAAAACGGACAACTTTAGAAGTTTCATATTCACACAAATTCTTCAAACTGCAAAATGCAGCCATTGTTACAAGTTCCTGTGAAATCTATGCTCTCAAGAACTGTAGCTGCTTGATTCTGTCTACTTCCACGCCTACATCCCCCTTAGGCAGGCCTCACCACTTAAAGGCACAGTAAGAAAAATATTCATATTACTAGCATGGAAGCTGAATAAGAGAAACTGAGTATGTTATGCTCTTTAAAGAAAGATCATTCATTATTAATCAGCAACAAGAAAATGAGGTAAAGTGGCTGGCATGCATTATCCATGGACAAACAAAAGACAAAGGATCATATTCATCCCTGGTGAATCTTCATTAAAATCAAAGGAATTCACAAGGGATGAATTTGGACCAATGCTCCACAGCTGCCCACACTGTTGGACAAAGACAGTCTTCAGAAGAAGAATATTTCTGGAATTCCTTTTAATTGGTCATTACAAATGTGCTTTAGCATTTTGAATATTCAAGATTTTAAAAAAGCTAAAACCTAAGTGTCATATACATTAGTTCTCTTATGATGTCCTTCCAGCAGCCTGGCTACTCATATCAATATCCAAGACCCAATTAGATCCAAGATCTGGTTTCCTGCTAAATTCTCACTAACAATCAAACTCTTATCTTTCTGAATGTCCACTAGAAATCTTGTTTGCAGTGCTTTTGTAGCCATATTGATCCCAGGATGTTAGACAAGAAGTTGGTCCAGTAAAAGATAACATCCCACTCAATTTGTCATTGAAAATCACTGAACACATCTGGATGTGCCACACATACACTGAAAGCTCACGAGCTGTAGAATGGCTTTTGAGGGCTGGTGAATGGCCTTAAATCCTATTGATTTCTACAAAAGCTGAGGGCACTTGGCATCTCACAAAATTAGACTTCATCTTTTTACTATTTATTTTAGAAATTTTGTGCGTCACTCTGTCTATCCACCTGTGATTCCATTTTTTCCAGAACTGCTCCTAAACAGAAAGAGCTAGGACCACCCAATTTGGTATGCAGCTTCTTATTGCTTTAAGTTATGATGTCAGGGTTTGGTTGTGCCTGGACAATCGGATGTGTGTGGAATGCAATTGTTTCTCATCAAACAGAAAGGGAGGAGAGTAAGTTAGTCAGTTATAACCTAGACTTTCCATGGGGGGCAGCAAGAACTGTGACTGTAAGCAAACTCCCCAGCTTGTGAGCAACCACCAGCTGACCTACATGCCCCCACCCTGCCCTGGAGAGAAGCTAGCAGGAAGGCAGGCAGTGTGTCTCCCTACACCCTGGGCCATTCCCAGGGAGAAACCTGCCCGTTGGGTTTGTGGTAGGGATTTAAATGACCATTTAATTAACTGATTAACCAATTAAAGGGTGCATGGGTGGGGAAGCAGTACCTGCCTGTGGTGCTCAGGGTCTCCCCGGACAGCTCTGCTTGTGGGGCACCTGGGCTCCAGACACCAGATCAGCAGCAGGCCCACTGCAGGGCTGGAGCAGCTCCAGCCACTACTGATTAATGGTTAACCGCAACCAATAAGTTTAACTAACTGGTTAAACTTTCACATCTGTAGTGCACAACCCCTACAATCCTGGGGAGAAGCTACCGGCCATCCTCACCCTCTGCCCTGAACCCCTCCTCACCATGTTTTGACTCCTGCACCTCCCACCCCATGCCCTGAGCTTCTCCTCACTCTCCAGCCCTAACTCCTCTATCCCCATCCCACTGCTCTGAGTCCCTCCTCAACCCCCCAACCCTGAATCCTGCACCCCCACACCACCAGCTCCCTGCCCTGAAGGATCCAAGCAACACCAGGTAAGTCTTCTAGTTAGTTTAAAATATGTACTAGGGGCCTGATCCCACAGCCTGAAGTTGATGGAGTTTTTCAATAAAATTCTATGGAAGCAGCCAGAGCAGAGCTGAAATTCAGCAACAGCTTCTCACTTACCATAGCCCTATCTAGGAAGCCTTAAAGCAGGGCTACTCAACTTTGGAAGCCTCAGGGGCCACAATGATACTCACAGCACATGGCAAGGGCCGCAACTTAAGTGTGGTTGTACATATATATATAGATATATATATATAGATATATATCTCTACAAATAGCATATATCACACTGATGGGTATGAATACAAAGATTTAAACCTTAAGCTGTGGCACTGGACCCAAACATGGCAAGTGTGAGCCAGTCAGCACCTCTCAGGCTCTGCCCACAAGACTAGGCAACCAGTACTTCCCACAGGGCCCGGCGCTCCCGCCACATTCTCCCTGAGGGCTAGAAATGCCAACACCCTGTACCCGTCTGTTCCAGCCAGCCCATCCGCTTGGGTCTTTCAATGCTCATCCCATGTGGGAGATGCCTCGCTACTGTGGAGCATGTTCTCAGTGGAGGCCATGTTCAGAAGATCCCACCTGTGGGCTGTGTGTTGACCTCTGCGTAAACTGAAACCACACCGCAGGCCACAAACAAATGGGCCGCATATTGAGTAGAGCTGCCTTAGAGAATCCATTGTGACTGAAAGAGCAGATAGAAAAGAGACCTGGGTTATCCACCATTGTTCTCTCTAATCTGCATGGCAGCACCGCTTCACAGATGAGTAATCAGCCCTGCCTAGTCAGAGGCTGAGGGATCCATGCACGGACCTGACTGACTGGTGGGGGAGTGATTAATCACCTGTGAAGCTGTGCTGCCATCTTATAGGAAACACTGTTATCCACCTGCTTCACCTTCTAGTCACCAGAGTACCTAGAACTGCCCATGATAGATCACAGCCTATGTTACTGTATCTGCTCAACAGCCCTATCTCTAAAGGCCACTGATGTTCTATATAATCCAACTAACAGAAACTTTGATGGCGTAGAGACATGAGAAAAGGAGGGATCTGATGGCTACCAACTGGGATCATCACCAGCTTGTTGAAACCCGAAAGGGACCACTGTGATCTTCCAGTCCGACCTCTTGGGATTGACAGTACAGTGGTCCAAATGTGCTGAAACAAATTTTCATTGTTCTTATCTACCTACAAAGGCTAATAGGACACACCTGAGTGTGCCCCAGAGATTTAAAAATGTGGAGCTAAATGCAGAAAGATGTCCAAAGAAGACTGTGGTAGTATAGTTTATTTATACCTTGTTCTGGATCCATTGAAGGCCTGATTCTTTGCTGCCTTGAACTCTGCATAGTCATTTACACCAGTGCTAAGTGAGTATGACATGCTACCAGATAAGAATGTCAGTGCTTTATGCCCATGCTGCACTGATTTGAATGGCCACGTAAGATGCAGGGGAGTGGTCAAAAAGGTCCTCAATTTGTGAATAATACCAGATCAGACTCATAACTAAGGCTCAGGGGACCAATTCCCCCCTGTGACGGGGTGACCCCTCCCCGCCCCCTGAGCTACGCCGAACAGGCGCTGCTCGGCATCTGGGGGGGGCCGGCCCGAGATTGCGCGGGTCCTGTTACTACTCCCTACCCCGGGTTCAAACAGGACCCCTTTGAAGTGGTGAGGCGCATCGGGGAGGTCGATTACGAGGTCAAACTAACGGGAAGGGCGGGCGGTACCAAGGTGTACCATGTAAACTTATTGAAGGCCTGGAAGGGGCGAGAGGTTTGTTTATAAACCCCCTTCCCCCAGATCCAGAACTGGGCCCCGGAGAGGGGGGCCAGGCCACCCCAGGTCTCTTGCAGATGGGGGCCGACCTCACCCCCGAACAACAGGTGGACCTGGAGAACTTGCTGAGCCGCTTCCCGGATGTGATGACGGACAAGCCAGGCCACACCGCTCTGGCCCACCACCACATCGAAACCGAGGCACGAAAGAAGGTATGAGACCCGGTGCGACCCCTGCCCCGAAAGATGTGGGAACCAGTGAAGGCGGAGCTGCAGAAGATGATCCAGTGGGGTGTGGTAGAAGACCAGTCCCATAGTCCTCGTGCCGAAGCCTGACGGGTGAATGAGATTCTGCATCGAATTCCGCAAAGTGAATGCACTTTCCAGATTCGACGCTCACCCTATGCCTCGGGTGAATGAGTTGCTAGACCAACTGGGAGGAGCGCACTATCTTTCCACCCTAGATTTGACCCGCAGCTACTGGCAGATCCCCTTATCACCGACATCCCGAGAGAAGACGGCCTTCTCAACCCCCTTCAGGCTGTATCATTTTATCTGGATGCCCTTCGGACTTCATGGAGCGGCCGCCACCTTTCAGCGGCTTATGGACAGGGTGCTAAGGACCCATGACCAATTCTCCGCGGCATATATTGACGATATTGTCGTGTACAGTAAATCCTGGACTGAGCACCTACAGCATGTGAAGACCATACTACAAGAACTCCGCCAGGCGGGGTTGACGGCGAACCCCCGGAAATGCCATTTCGGAGAGAAGGAGGTTTCCTATCTGGGCTACACAGTCGGGCGAGGACGGCTCCGCCCTTTGATGGAGAAGGTAGAAGCACTGCGCTCGTTCCGGCCGCCGCGGACTAAGCGACAGGTTAGACGGTTCTTAGGGTTGGTTGCCACAATAGCGGCACCCCTGACAGATCTTACACGCGCCACCCTCCCCCAAAAGGTACGATGGTCCCCAGAGTGCGAAGAGGCCTTCCAGGAGTTAAAAGACTGCCTAACCCTAGCCCCAGTGTTAGCACAGCCCAACTTTAACCATCCCTTCACCCTCTATACGGACGCCTCGGAAAGTGGAATAGGGGCGGTCCTGTCGCAAGGGGAGGGAGCAAACGAACACCCCGTCGTATACATCAGCCGTAAGCTTTTTACACAGGAGCGTAAGTATGCGACGATCGAGAAAGAGGCCTTGGCGGTAAAGTGGGCGATTGACTTATTGAGGTATTATCTTTTAGGTAACCGGTTCCGGGTAGTGACGGACCACGCAACCCTACGGTGGCTACAAACCATGAAGGACACGAATGCCCGCGTGATGCGTTGGTAC